CCAGTTACTCTCTCTCTCTCTCCCTCTTTATGTTGTATATGACCATGAATGTGTGAATATGCCGAGCTTCCTCAGCATTTGTTTTCACTCCCTCTGCGTTGGACTAAGCTGCACGATCACACAACAAAAGGCTATTGTCCTGCAGTTAAAAGCGGTGCTCCAGGGAGCTGGTAGTGGGCCACAGACAAAGGCTGGTTACATTGTCCCAACACAAGCCCATGAATCAAGCCAACACTGGACTGCCAAAACAGCCTTGGAAAAATGAGTGCTGCGAGTCTACTAGGGTGTGACAAAGAGGGACGGGGAAGAGAGTTGATAGACGAGGGATGTTGGGGTGGAGGAAGCGAATGTGCAGGCAGCAGGACGCACAGCTGGAGCTGGAGGAGAGCGGAGGGAGGGTGATATATGTGGGGATGGCAGTGGGTAAGAGGAATCTGTCCTACAGTAGAGAAGAAATAAGGAAATGGAGGGAGGGGAGGATTTTAGAAGAGCGTAGCCAACACAGTGGGAGGATGAGAGGTGAAGTCAGCACAAACTGAGAGTTAAGTCAACAGACAAGCCTCCTGCCTGTGCTCTAAAGGCTTGACGCACCCCCAAATCACAACAGCAGAGCAGGAGGGACATGTGCGGATGCAATCTTGCAACTGGCCAATGATGAGAACAAAACTACAATCTGGCCGTTGATCATAGTATCCAGCAGTCATTTTGCATGATGCAACCTTGGTCTGAGAAAAAGAAATACTGTATTTGTATGTATGACATGTCCCTGCTCTGTTTTTTTCCGATGCCGACAGGTCAAATTAGCAATGAATCCATCAAATGCTCATGCACAAAGAGCTGCTATTGAATCCAACAGCCGGACACATTTCACCTTTTCCACACTGTGAGGGAGTGGAAAGTGGTGACCAGCACTCTGGAAGGAGAGTGTGACAGAAAAAGTTTGGGAAGGATTTGACATTATTACCACACAGAAAACCGTACACTGAGAGCAAATGCACTCAAAGAAATAGTGAAAATGTATTTACCATTGGCGTTCTTCCCGCAGATCAGGTGTTCATAGTGCTGCAGGACGCCCCACAGCTCCGCGTCATTGTTCACAACCCCCTCCAGGGCCTCTGCACTCACTGGGGCGAATGTTGACCCTGAATCCGGCCCTGGGTGACCCCTCTCGGCCATCAGCACACGGGCTCCTATCTCCTCCACCAGGGCCTCCATGCACGCGGTCAGGCATATCGACGCATACTCGTGGATGCGCACGGAGATGCGCGTATCCACCATCCAGCGGAAGAAGCGTCCCACGGAGAAGGAGAGGCCACAGCGAGCCGACTTGCCCTTCCTCAGCAGCTCCCCTGCACTCATGCTGTACATGGAGATTGCCTTGACCGTAGCCGAGACGCAGTGGTCGGCCAGAGCCCAGCTGAGCACGAGCCTCATGGCACTCTGCACCTCAAAGCGCGTGCAGCGGCAGTGCATGACGCTGAGCCGCTGAGCCTCCCTGGAGATGCGGATCAGAGCCCTGCGGAGAAGAATGGACAGCCGCCTCACGGCCTCCGGGGAGAACACAGGTGGGAGCCCCCCTTTAACGCTCCCACTCTCGGCCACTTTTCGCAGCACCTTGGCCACCTCCTCTTCGGTCCAGGGGAACTCTTCCAAGTCAGGTAAGCGGGGGCACTTCGAGAAGATGTCCTCAGGATCTTCGGGAAGGACAGTGTTGACCGTGTCCCAGCTGTTGTTCCTGCTGTTCATGGAGCCGGAAAAGTACCACCAGTTGCCCCGATGAGGGGCCGTCATGAAGGCCTGGGAGTTGGACTTGGAAGAGGACAGGCTGAGGGATTTGCACGAGTCCCCCGCGCCGTACCCCGAGTCCAGCGTAAGGTCCTCCAGGGTTTTCATGTGGACATTGCTCAAACCAGCCATTATAATTCTTAAATGACTTCGAAATGGAGTGTTTAGGAAAAGGGATAAACCTTGGAGACGGTTTACCTGCAGGTTAGAAGAAAAAAAAAAAGCAGCGAAACTCCCCGCTGAGCTGGACGAACTGGTTACGCAGCACAACACTTGACAGCCATGCTGCTATAGAGTTCAGTGCGGGACAGCGAGATAACAACTAGGCTATACTCAAGATGATGACAACAACTTCAAAGCAAATTGAACATAAGCAAAGGTGCTCTTCCGTTTTCACACGGAGAAGCCACTGCGCCTCACCTTTCCCCGGACGGCGCAGGGATTTAAACTTCCCTCCAGTGTCCACAGTCTTTTCAAACTCGACGAACTGTCTCCTCGCTTACAGGAAGAAGAAAAAAAAAGCCCGACCCGTGTTGATTTATTCAAACAATTCCGGAGTAGCCACTCGACACACACAAACAGCTTCGTTTTAACCCAGCAGAAGTGTATCGCGCCTACACCTCCTCTCTCTCTCTCTCCCTCACGGTACTCACTCAGGATCAGCCTGTAGAATACACTCAGCTACAGATGTGAGAGAGGCGGAACCACCACTGAGTGACATTACGGAAGCAGCTCGAGAACCAACCAGGAAAAGGCAGAATTTCACGGCAGCCAATCAGGACCCACCAAAGATTTTGCGTGATTTCTAAAGATGAGAAGTTTGTTTTGAGAATTTAACACATTTCCTCAACATGTGTGACCTTTTTATTCTACTTAGGCTGTTTATCAGTCCAATTTTATGAGCCTACATTTTATATTTATTTATCGATTTCACCTCAAAAAATAGATTCAGTTTGCTATTTTACTAATAAACGACTGTTAGTTTACAATTCGCCCATGGTCAATATGTGGCTAGATGTTCGTCATAGCTACAATATGAATGTGTTAGGTAACATTTTTCTAGCTTGTTACCTACAATAAAACTGCCTTCAAAGCAGACTTCAATTATCTCATCAAGTTTACTCAGGGGAACTTGGCTGGCTGCCTGCACATGAGCTCATCTCTCACCTCCAGCCTCTTACTGAAATTGAATCTGTAAAGCTCTTGGTGATTTTGTAAGAGGTGGAGGTGTTTACATTAAATTGATGAGGCTTTGGTTTTTTACTGAAATTGTTTAAAAAGATTATTCAGGGCAACGGAGGAAAAAGGTCCAGTTTATAGCACAAACATTGTCATGATTTGGTCTTATTTAGTTTTGTATTTCAGCGTTTAGGTTTCCATGTTTTAATTTCTCCTGTTTATCCTAGTGTTGCTTGTTTCCCTTGTGTGTTTTTGTTTCATAGTTTAGTCTTTAGTGCTTCGTGTGTTATTTTGTAACTTTGTACCTGAGTGTTTCTTTATGTTCTAGTGTGTTTTTGTTACTTTCTTTACTTTTGCTACTTACTTTCTTACTTTTTAAATATATTTAGTTAATTCTGCACGTGGGTCCAGTTCCTTGTTTTCCCCCTGAATGTGACAGACATACTGTTTTAATTTATTTTATTTCAACTGACAAATAGTGCACTGGCTTGTATGATTTGCACGCACTGCGTGACTTTGGGCTCATTCGGCACCAGTTCAGTGGAGGAAACACCAATAAAGTGGTCCCTCTTGCTGTCAAAACAAAGTTTGTGCAAATCCTCTTGCAAAACTACAGTTTTCAATCATTGTGCAGCCTTGTTTGTTGTTTTTGGTTAGGTGCGGTAACATGCTTGAGGTCACATAAAGCAAACATGTTGAAGAGGTCTGTGACTACCTGCTTGTCATCACTCTGCACTTACATAGACAGGTAGGGTGTGTCCACACTGAAGTTCAACCTATTACATCATAGTTTTAGGGCAGAGCGCTTAGCCTGCATGCCTGTGTGATGCAACACATGGTGAAAGTGGCTGTATGAATGCTTTCTTTCACATCAATAGGCCTAGATGTTACAGGACATGCTATACTTAAAGTGGAAAACATGACACTTGAACACACAGAACATGGTCCATGAATCAAGCTGTCATGGGAACAACGTAAGTCAACCTTTGAGTCCTGTCTAGTTAACCTCCCCAGCTTTGCACCATTAGTCAAAGTTTCTCTAAATTAGTTCAGAAAACACGCAGAGGGGAAAAAGAGATCACAGGAGGTTGGCACTTGCTTCATCCAGACCTCATGTAGCTGTGATGTGGACTGTGCTTACCTCATGGCTTCTCTGTGTGCGTGCAGGCTCAGCGCAAAAATAAAGCCAGCACACCACCCAGAGCAAAATAACGCAGGAGGGGATCAAAAACTATGAACACAAAAACTCTGCAAATGATTACATGTGTTCCCCAAAACACGCCAGCTCTGTTGGAGTTAAACATCTTAGTTTCACAATGTTTCTCTCCTCTCTGCATTGGTCGAAAACACAACAAAAGTGGTATTCAGTTTTACTCAGAATGGGTAACTGAATGATGATTTCAGCAAAAGAGAATAAAAACAGAGTGAGGGTCGTAGAGGGTTTGCACACTATCATTTTTACTTATCTGATCATTTTAACCTAAAATAAAAGTGTCTCAGAGTCTGATCAATCTGAGCAAAGACATTTTTCAAAGTTATTTTTATTTATAATTGGCTGATTATAATATATTTTTTTAAAGCTCAAGAAATAGGTTGACTGACTGAGTATTTGTTTTTTATGGATCTTCAGAAAAAATATGAGTTTAAATTCATAAAATCTGTATATCTGTATCAAGTCACCTAAATGACATGATCATAATGATCCACATACCCACGTGATGGAAACAGATGAATTGTTTGCATGAAGGAAGTGAAACCAAACGCTGTCTTTCTTCATTGTTGTGTGTGGGAAGGGGATTTTTGTAATTGCATTCATACTGCCCTCAATCAACCCACCCCCATTCACTATATGAAATTTGTTCTTTTATTCTGTATGTTATAAGCCATTTAAATACACTTAACTGCCACAGGTAGTATGTAGAAAAGGGTGTAGCACCACCATGTGGTCAGATATGGAATTACTTTCTCTAGATGCCAACATCTCAAAAAAGGCAATAAAGTACAAATAAATAAAAAATACACATCTGAAAAAAATATCTGGACGTAAGCATAAAATTTTATTTGCAAAAACCAACAAATCAAAATAAGAGTACAATACATTCTTAAAACCTTTTCTCTACAAAACAATTTCACAGAAATTACCTTGGAATGTATATTCCTATTTTTCACTTGTATGTCTCATATATATAGCCTTGTATCTAATGTGTGTCTTTTCGTCTTTAAATAATCCCATGTCAGTGTTAAATGTCGTACAGTATAGACCCTTTTCCTGTAGAAGAAAGGATCTTGGAGGGTAATTTGACAATCATATAGTCAATAACAGATCATTACGCTCATCTATATATACTGTATGTGGCCAGCAGAAAGCCTTCCAGCCAACCTCCATCAATATAAGTACCATCTTGTATAAACAGAGGCATTAAGAGTCGGGCCTCCAGCCAGACTAATGGGCGGGAGGTGGGGTCCTGCTGGACTGCAGCTGCCATTGTGTCTCCATCACACCTCCTGGTTTCACTCAGTAGTCATTAGTACCATCTCTGCTTATCACTCCAAAGGGACAAATGGCCTGTAAAGACCACACCTGCTTTAAATGTAAAACAACAAACACACTGACACGCCTGTAATCATTTGAGAGAACCATATTTCCTTCCCTTACAGTGTTTCTGAATGTACAGTGACTTAACAGCCTGCTGATAAATAACTTTGTATTTATGCCTGTACCTGCACTCTTCTGTCTTTAGAGTAGTTTACAAACTGCCTGCAGCCAAACCCTGATAAAGGCACACATTTGTGAAAACAGCCATGCCTTGCCGCATTGTGTCCGACACTCGGACAGGTCTCCGTTCTGTTGGAGCTTTATATCATCTAAAAAAAAAAAAAAAGTGTTAATGTTTCAATGGGTGAGCCTTCACCATCTATATGAGAGATAGAGTTTTAATCCCTCAACTCCCAATATTTCAAATGCTTTACTCAGCTCAGAGAATGATTTAAACAAAAGCATAATGCAGAATCAAACACCAGCAAGATTTGTTTTTGTCCTTTAACAGTTTCTTGTTCCAGTTGACAATGAGGTTTGAGATCTGGAGAGAATGGAGGATTCTGTCCGTTGAGTAAAAATGTGTAAAATTCAGTGTTTTAGAACCAGAAATAGCAACCCAAATGTTGGTGCACCCATATTCAGTCAGGACAAATAAGAACCCTTTATAAATAACCAACAGCAGACATGCTTCAGTTAAAACAAATAAAATCAATCAAGTCATAACCAATAGGTAGCATTATTATGGGTGTGGTATGTAAAACTGATGTCATAAAAGCAGCAGGGCTATGCATAATATTTAGAACACATTGAAATGATAAATTAATTGAAGATAACTACGATAGAGGGGGGAGACCAAAATGTATGTATTTATGTTATTTCTTTGGAAAAGGGCTATTCTGAATTTTCAAAAAACTGTTTTTGTTTCATAAAATCAGGCAGCAGGAACGCTTCAGCACCTGGTGTTCAATTGTATCCGACAGGTAGTAGTTGACTTATAAAGAAGTTTTGTTTTATTTACCAAATACAGCATTTTTTTTCTCTACTCAAGCTACGTCACCATGTCTGCGTCTATCTGAATAGCATGTTGACACACATTCTGTTAGGCTCTCGTGTGAGAGCGAGTTACAAAAAAAAAAAATGAAGAACTTAGGTTGTGTTCACATCTCCTTGTTAGAAAAAAAAAAGGTGCTTCCTGTCGTTGTAAGCACACACAAGCAGCAACACGCCCACATACACTTGTATATATATTTACATACACATACACTCACACACTCGCCCGCACACACACACACACACATACGCAAACTCACACACTCAGAAAAAGAAACGGCTGCTTTCCAGTCTGTCTGAAAACATTGCACCAGAAAAGGACAGAGAGAAAGAGAACAAAAATAACTCTCTTCTCTCTGAACGGTAGTTCAGTCAGTGAGGCAAAGTGATGACTCAGGTCCTTCTGCCTTTACAGCTCCTCAGATTTGGACTCTGTCTCCTTGCAGAAGCGTACAAAAGTGGCTGATAGCAAAACAGAGGTGCTCCTAAACAGAGCCTGTTTTTTTGTTCTTTACAAAAAAAAGCAGAGTTCAGGCAGTGAGCGAGCTCCTACAGGTCTCTCTCTCACACACATGGTGGATCTGCATCCCCAGTTTTTGCAGGTTCAGATTCCTTTAACCAGCCGGGGAAGGGGAGGCTATCCTTTGGGAGTTTTTTTGTTCTGAGCGTTCCACATGCCCCGCTTGGAGTGATAGTAGTGAAAGAAGTTCCTCAAACGTAGTCTCTCTACCTCCAAACCATTCTGTAGTACCCTGGAGGGGGAGACACACAGGGTTATAACAAGGCTCTTTTTATAATGCACTAAAAAAAAGCTCTGAGCTGGTTGTGTCATTGTTTTCTAATGGGGAGATCCCACTGAGCCCTACACTAGAAGAAGCACAACCAATGAGATAACGGCTGTATATGACATAGAGATACAAAGAGATACAAAGAGGAAGAGGGAGAAGAGATGTAGTAAGGTTGCCCTGGACTACCCTACAGTGAGTAAAGAGCATGTTTTTAATCATCCAAAGGCAACTTTCCAAGAAATTACAAGATGTATTTTTTCTGATCTTGCAACAATTGTTCATATTCACTAAACAAAAATAATTGTTTTTGTGCTTTAGTCAAATAAAAGTCATAAATTGTCCTTCTCAGAGATCTCATTCATCTCAGTTTAATTAATATTATTTAAAAGCTCTTAAAATGCTATGGGAAAGAATAAGTACCGGTAAGCTATTATTATTATTATTATTATTATTTTATTTTTTCCAATTCAATATATTCTGGAATGGATTTTATGAGTTGTAATGAAGCCCACCTCCTGTTGGGGCACTGTTTTTTTTTTATTAGGTGATGCAGAACAATACAAGACAAGTGAGGGGCATGACAAGAGCAAAAGTATATAGGAGACAGGGGAGACACGACGATACAATGCACAGCATAGACAGAGACAAAGCAGGCAAGCAGGGAGTAATAATAACGTTTCGCAATTTTGTATGTTGAGGGCCCTGCTTGTGTATGTGTGTGTATGTGTGTGTGTGTGTGTGTGTGTGTGTGTGTGTGTGTGTGTGTGTGTAATTCGAGTGTATGCTTGTATTTTTTATTTTTATTTTTATTTTTATTATTATTATTATTTTTTCCCTTCCTCTATACCCCTATTCCTGTTTTTGTCCTTCATTCCTTCATTCCATTTTTCTTTTCTTTCTTTTTTCTTTTTTCTCCTTCTCCTCCTTTTTCTTCTTTCCCCTTTCCTCCCCCTCTTTCTTTCTATATATATTATCTTTTTTTTTTTACTTCAGTCATTGTGTGATGCAGGGGTGCCCCTGTCTCAGCTGCCCCCATACCCTGCGGAGGGGGCCAGCTGATAGGGTCGCCTACTGCTGACTTCTCATCAGGGGTGCCCCTGTCTGCCGGTAAGCTATTATGTTGCAACACCTCCTGCACTATCTGGGTTAAGGCAGCAAACTGAGAGGTGGTACAATCTGAAAAGGAGAACAAGAAGATTTGCATGTCACAATAGCTCAAGCAGTAAATGAGAAAACGCCTGTTTTCAAACCAATAATCATTTCCAGACTACTTCTGTTTTTTTTCTCTTAGTAATGCTATTATTTTCCTATGCTTGTGTTGTATTTGCATTGAGTGTTTGAAGAAGTATCTACCCACATCGTTTTAAAAGAAGACATTTACAAACACTTGTGGTTGCAGAGTCTCAATCTAGAAACAATACAAATCACATTACATCAGAAAAGCAACAGTATATAATATTTAACAGCTATTTCAAAAGTGACCATGGAGGTGAGGCGACATCTCTTTGACACACGCTCAACAAAGGATCTGTATAACCTTTCTCTTGCATCCATCGCAGGATTTTTTCTTGTTAGTTTGTTACTGAGTTACCTGTCCAGAAGCTCCCAGTCCTCTCCTCCCCAGCGGTCCTTGAATTCCTCTGTGTTCATCCCCCCGATCTTATCGAAGTCGGACTTATAGATCCCAAACAAGCCAAAGCCGTTCACCTCCCAGTAACCTGCAGAGAGAACAAAAAGTGAGCAACCGTTTGTCCACATGGCATTTTATTGCATCCAGAGTTTTTTTTAATAAATGAGAAAGTCTGATGCCTGGAAAGTGCTTTGATGCAAATGCACTTATTGTGCATGTAAACTGAAAACCTTCATTGTGTTGTCTCTTACTGGGGAATGAGTTTGAGTGATGAGCCAGTATATACACTTGGAAACGATATAAATAAATGAGTGATTGTTCAAGTGTCTTCCCGCATGTGTGTTTGTGTATTTGTGAGTTACCGTCAGGCTCCAGTGGGGAACTGCCGCAGCCGAGTCTCATGACAATAGGAGCGAAAGCGAGTCGGCCCTCCACACAGTGCTTCCTGATGCTTTCCAAGATGTTGAGAGGGAAGTGGATGTGCAGATCACACAGGAACACAATGCTGTGACTATCCTGCAAGGGGAAACACAAACAAACCCACATGAACACAGCCATTCCATGTAAATAATCACTAAATCTTTCCCATGCCTGAGAGAAAGCAAGGTCTGTTTTGATGATTCTGTGTATAAGCCAGATGTGAGCTGATGTTCACACACGCCTTCAAATGGGATTTTTAGGATTAAAGAAAGTAAAGACCGGGCTGTGTCTTCACTTCCAGAGCCTGCAGGTCATTCAGACATGAGTGACAGCCCCGTCATCTCCCCATGACAGCACTGACACTCAACTGCGGGATCAACGTCTGTCCAACTTTCCAGCTGCGTGTGTATGACAAAGGGAGAGCTGGCGTTAGGGCACATGCACACAGATAACCTGTGAGAAGGAATAGATGCGACAGCTATGGCATAAGCATGACAGAGGCAATGCAGCAAACTGTCTGAGCGATTCCCCATCGCCCACAGCTGGGCTCTGCGGGAGAGGGCGAAGGGAAGCAGGAGGAGGCTCGGAGATGAGGGGCGAGGATCTGCAGCCCGTGACAGACTGGCCTAGATGTGATGTATTCATTATGCATGAGTGTTCTTTCTGCCTGTCCATCAGCCAGTAAAGGTCATGTGGTCTGTGTGTGGCTGACCTTCAGTGAGTGTCTTTATTTTTTTCTCCACGCTGCCAGCTCACATATTGTTTGTTTCTCTAACCTCGATAGTGTCCACTCCGATTTGAAGTCCCGCTGAGCGCTCAAAGTTCCCCTCTCTCCTTAGGTATTCATATCTGTCAAAGCAAACAGAAAGCAAACGTCACTAAGTCTTTAAAATATTCTATAACTTTTCCAAAATGTGTTTGAAGTCGTATCACATACACACCTTGGCACGCTGCTGTCTCGGAGCGCCTGCTCCACATCCATGTCTTCGCTCTCAAAGTCGACGATAATGATGCTGAAGTTGTCGTCCTTGGTCTGGCGATGAAGGTTCTCCATGTCAGATATAAACTGCTGTACCCAGCGGGCCTGGTTTTTCACTGAGGGAGAGTAGAAACAAAGGGAAAATGTACAAATGTAAAAATTAACTGGATATTAAGAAAATAAAGCCTGAACACTTTTGAAACAAACAATGGGTTGTTCCATTTTAATGGTATAAAATAAGTTGTAGAACGGTTTTCAGATTTCTAAGTTTACGAAAAGGTTTTAAGCAGATTTGAAGTTTTTAAAGTGAACATTAGGTGGCTGACAGATGATTCTGTTCATGGATTAACAGTAGCTCATGACAAAGTGTAAAGCTGCTGTGAGGACCTCTCTGTTCGTGTTGATATTTGTGACAAAGCAGTTTCATTTACCTCTTTGCTTAACTTGTCCTGTACATATGTAATTAATGTTTTCTGACAAAAAATCACATCCTTATGAATTTAAATGTCTAATGTGCAACTTCAAATGGATCTATGGCTTGAAAGAATCTAAAAGGTCTGTGTTTGCAGCCTGTAGTTAATCAACTGATCTGACACCTACCCCGCACCAGGGGAAACAAGCATATCAAATAATATAGAGTTATATATAGTATGGTGTTGTTTGTTTTTGTAGTTCATCTTTAGACAGGAGAATAAACTTCAGTGTGTTTCATAGCCACCTTAAAACTCCTCACATGAGCTCAAACAATACATTTTAGAAAGATTTCCAGGTTACCATTACAATCAGTTAAACACTGATTATTCTGTTTTCAAAGGTTTTATGAAAATGATTAGGTTTGCCTTTAAAAAAAAAAAGTTTGCAAACAGTTTGCAAAGTTCAAAAAGCAGGTAGCATACAGAGCATATTCCATTTCTTTTATTGACAAAATGTTGCTTCTTTGAACTACCTGGCACCACAAAGTGCACCATCACATCCCTCCTCCACTGCAGCATCACCGGCTGGCAGAGCAGAGGCTTAGCATAGGTGGTGCTCCAGGGGGTGGCTCCTAGCCGGACGGGGGACCTGGAGGAGGTAGGGGGCGGTGGTGTGGTGAGGGTGGACGTAGCAGCAGACGGGGCTGAAGCCGGCGCAGAGGCCGGTGCGGAGTCAGTGTTCTCGAAACTCTCCTCTCCTTGCCTGCCGCGGTGCAGCAGCAGGTAAATGTATTCTGACAGTCGCACCACGTTGCGGCCCCTCTCCATCAGCTCCAGCTCCACCAGGTAACGGTTCCCTCTGGCCGAGTCCCGCCGCTTCTCCACGTTGACGATACGCAGAAGGGTGTAGATCCTTGGGCAACGGACAGGAAACAAAGGTAAGAAAACAAAGACGGGTTCTCTGAAAAGTGACTGAGACAGAAACAAATTTCAGATCATTCACACAGCTGGATTAGCTGGTGTTTGACTGTCGGAAAACCTATTTAAATATGTAGCTTCTCATTATCTGTGGTGCTGTGAAGTCAGCGTGGTGTGATGTGGGGGGGAAATGCAAACAGAGAAAAGTTAATGGCCTCACTGCTTCACACAAAATAAAATAAAAACATCAAGGTTCATAAGCACGGCTGCAGAAAATACTCATCAGCACATAGTGGATGGCTAACATGAAGTCAATGAAGCAGTGCATGACCAGTGTGTTCTCAGGGAAAATTACTTCTTGCTTTACATAATGGTTAGCAGAGGAAACCGTAATTTGAATTCACAAGGTTGCAGGAAAACACAAGCCCTTACTTAGCCCCTCATTATTTTTACTTCCTTCCTGTTGTCCTTACCCGCCGTTTTTTTCGTTGAGCTTCTCCATGTACTGCGCCAGCACGTCCACCACCTCGCTCTCCGCCAGCTGCAGGTTACCGGACACATTGCAGCGCAGGTCGTTCCAGTCGGACCGCAACAGCTCAAAGTCCATCGGGTTCACCGAGAAGGTCCTTTGCCAGTTGATGCTTTCCTCTGCCCAGCCTGGCCGAGCCTCCACCTCCTCGTAGCTGTAGTCCGACATCTCACCCTCCTCTGGTTCTGGCTCAGTATCAGGATTAGTATCCTTCTCTAGATCTGCCGGGTTGGGATCTGGTTCTGGCTGCTGCTGGGACTCGGTGATTTCTGAGGTCCTGAGGTAAGAAGTGACCCGTGTTTGACCTTGGAGCGTGTTTTCTGTGGAGTTGAACCTTGGTAAGGTAACTTGAAGGGGATCCTGATTTAGGGAAAGTGGGGTAAGCGAGTCCCTTTTCCTGGGAAGATCGGTAGTCTTTAAATCTTGATGCAGCCCTTTCCTCCTGCTTTTGTCTGGATGTTTGGACTTCTGAACACTCTCATTCTGTATGTGGGTGCTTCCATTGTGTGGAAATGCCTTACCCTCTCTAGTGGGCGGATTGAGCCAGAGCTGAGGGTCACTAACAAGACTTTTACCTCCCCCTGCATGTCCTTTGGCACCTAGGTTGACCAGCCTTGTGGTTTTCCCAGTTTGGTACAGAAACACTCCTGGGAACACCTCTCTAGGGTGGCGTGATGCTCTCTCCTCCCTCCTCTCTCGCCGCTGCTCCCTCTCCCTCTCCCTGTCCTTCTCCCGCTCCTTGGCAGGTCGAGGCCTGGTGATGTAGATCTTATTCCCCTCCTTCTTCTCCTTCTTGTTAGCCAGGAGTTTGTTGTTGTTAACTTGGGGGTTGTTGCTGTGGGCGGAGTTACTGAGGATCTGCTTGGCTCGGCTTGCAAGAGCAGAGAGAGAGGACTTTTTGGGGAAAAGGAGGGATGATTTCGTCAGTTTGGGCGAAGTCTCAGCTCCCTTCTCACCTGCGGCTTTCCTTCCGGGGCCCAGCTCTGCAGGACCAGTGCGGATCCAAGACAGGGAGCGACCCCTGACCATGCTGTCCATGTCAGGCTGAAGCCCCCTGTGTACGGTCTCTTCCTCTATTCCCCTCCTGGTTCCTTGTCTCATGTTTCCTCTTGTGTGATCTCTCCCCCAGTCTCTGTCCAGATCCCTACCATCTCTGTGAGGAAAGTGTCTCTTTTCTCGGCGGCGTATGATACTGTTTACTGCTCCCTCCTCCGCTTCATGAGGGTCCTCCTCTTCCTCCTCCTCCCCCTCTCTGCCAGCTGGTGTGGGTGCAGACTTGGAGAGCTGGTTGGAAGGGTTGGAGGTGTGGCTGGTCTGGCTGGGACGGAAAGGCTTTTTGGGCGGCTGTGTGCCAACAATCTCTGCTTCGTCCTCTGTGTCTATCACCTCCTCTTCCTCTAGAAAATCTGCAGACAACAAGGAGGCATGAGGGTCTGTACTGTATGTGTGTGTGTGTGTGTGTGTGTGTGTGTGTGTGTGTGTGTGTGTGTGTATACATGCACACATGAGTGTGAGTTTGATTGTTGGTAGTCACCATCTGGGTTGGGGAAGAAGAACGATCTATCATCTTCTTCTTCATCCATCTTCATATATTTGTAGAAACCAAACCTGGCGTCCACAACAAAAGACAACACACACATTAAACACACACCTAGACATACACAACTGCATGGATGATCAGAAGCTTGAATTGTCTGAATGTGCCTTTCAGCATAAAATAATTCATCTTTAGGAGAGATGTTGCATAAATCACTGCCATCAATTTTACAGACTTTTGAAGATTTTTTTTCTGCATAATCAAAGAACTAGCTCATAAACAGAAGACAGAGACAAATGTTCCCAAAGATTAAAAGAGATGAAAATGAGATAAAAACCAAAAATGTCCTTACTTTTCCAAGTAGATAGGGGACTCTCTGTAGAAACATTTGTTCTCTCGCTCCATGTGGGTCAGACGTGTGAAGTCGTTGGGGTAAACGAAGGAAAGATAGACCTAAAAAGAAGAAGTCAAAATGTCAATAAAAATGCCTTTCCCCCTAAAAATACTCATAATGGAGTTAAGTCATGCTGAAGTAATCATTAAATAGTAGATCAACACAAGCATTTAGATTAAATCATTAAATCATCATCATCAATCAAGTTATTTTGAAAAAAATATATATATATATTTTTTTTTCTGCTTCCTGCTCATCATTTGTCTGTGCGGCTGCTGCAGTAACTTGTGTTGTCCTACAGGGGGAAGCAGAACTCAACACTACCTGCCAGCTCCTTCCTTTATGTGCTTTAATTCAAAGGGCGAGATTCACAAATTAGCACATATTTGGCTTCTCTGCTGATGTGCACTCCGTCCAGTTCAGCTAAATATTATGCTGACTCTGCAGGGAGATACTTGAAAGAGGGTATAAGTCTCTCGTCATAATTGGATGCACTTCAGATGACCCCAAAGTCTTATTTAAGCAGGAGCTCACTTTCTCATATACTGACACTAAAAAAAACATCATCAGTGTGGCAGGTCTTTTCAACTTCAGTAGAGGGAAGGTGATGAAGAGGTGACTTACAAATTGCAGGCCCTGGTATCTTGCGATTGGGAAATCTTTGACTACATAAGTTGGTGAGTAGAGACAGGCAGGAAGAACGTTTTCCAGCCGAGAGGGGTCGATCATAGGAGCTGAGGAGACAAAAAGAGATGGAAAAGGTGAATGTCTAAGTTAAGATACAAAAATGAAATGTGTTTGGGTTTTTAGAAGGTTGGGAAATGATAAGTGCGAAGGAAAAGACACACAATGTGGAACACAGCTGCCAAGACGAAATGACAGTCTGAATACAGCTAAACTGACAACCAAGAGAGGCTGCAGGCCAGACCGTCAATCAGTCAGTCAGAGAAAATGACAGGCCTGAAAAGGAGGATGAGGACAGAAATAGGGGGCAGTGGGAAATGATGAGTGGCAGATTTACTGCTGTAAAAGGTGTCCCTGGGGTCCGGCTTCAGCATATCCGCTCCATGCTGCGTGATGCTGCCTCCCTCCAGACCCTGAGGCTGAGACTCCTCTGGGAGACGGATGTGACTGGCCAAGGTCTGTGGGATGTGGTCGACGCTGTTCATCTTCAGATTGGACTCGTCTGACAAATACAGACGCAGGGACACATATTAGGTGAGACAGGAATGATGCAGAAAATGTGTTTGCATTCACTTGCTTTTAACAATCTATGACTGAAACATTTTGGTTAGCTGTTGCAAGGTATATACATACTGTATTTGCACATGAATTGTCTCGCAGTCATCAAAAATACAGAACATGAAAATTTTAAGAAATGGTAAATGAATGAAATAGAGGCAGAGATAAGTAAACAAAAGAAGAAGAGGAGCGCAAAAACAAAAGCTGAAAAGAGGAAAAGTTGGAAGATAACAAATACAGAGCTGAGTCATAATTACAGCAATCGATAGCAGGGGAGGAGGAGGAGGGAGCATGTGTGATTAATGGCATGTCAGGAGGAATGCCTGATGGGAGGAATGCTTCATAATTAAGAGGGTGGTCAGCATCATTTCTATCCTCCAGAGGGAGGAGCATGCGCACACTTTCATTGTGTGTGTTCGCATGTGTGCGCGTGTGTGCGCGTGTGTGTTCTGGGGGCTGCTCAGGGTGATGTACAGGGAAAGCCTCTTCTTGAATAACAATAAGACATCTGTTGATCACATATCTTCCACGCTTTGCCAAGAGTAAGTAATCTTCTATGATCCTAAAATCCTCAAAACAAGCGAAAAACTGAGAAAACAGTGAACGTCTCCTTCCCTTTTTAAAAACAAAAAGTTTATTCCATCCTTGGAACAAATGTAACTGGGTTTTCAATTTTAAACACAACTGTACTGGAGAGTTATTTCAGCCTCATCCATGTGATTATTTTGAATTTCCTGATCTCTGGAGTAAATATCAGAGGTTGTGTGAAAAATCTGCATTATTTTAAACACCATAGATGGATTGTAAAACAAATGCAGTCTACCCATGTAGAAGATTCATTCCTGTTATTTCAAAGTGGAATTGTATCAAATATGTATGTCTGAACAGTTAAAAGAAAATAATAATAATTGCAGACTACAAGTAGTTGAGAGTATCTCATAAAGGGAGGAGTAGGAATGAAAGGGTGGAGGCAGAGATGAGAGGATGGTAATGATGGATTCAGACAGGTGACCTCATAAACCACAAGAAGTCCCTCTTCTCCCCTCAAATGGCTGGTCATAAACATGATGGCATACATTCCCCAGCGTACAACCCAGAGCTTTGCCCAAAGTTTCCACTCCACTCCTCATTCTCTCTGCCTTGCTCCTTGTTAGCAAGACTGAATCCGTGTGACACCCTGCTATTCTTGGAGCTACACAGGTTACACATCTAGGGAAGAGCTGCTGCTTTCATGTCTGCTATGAATGACATCTATAGAGAAAATATAAAGCCAGTTTGAGACCCTGTAGCTTCCCTTAACACCCCACAGAAAAAGGCAGCTGCCTGGTGGAGAGAGAAAAATAAATATACAAATGAAGGAATGTAGATGTAGATTTTAATCATGCAACAAGATTAAGACAAAAAATGTGAGAGTGCCTAATAAGGAACAAGAGAGAAACACGAGATCAAAAAAGTCTGCGTCAATATCAAAGCAGATCGATGAAGATGTTTTTTATAGCATCATTTCTTTTCTCTAATGGCCATGCTCTTGTAGATATAGATTTCTATAGTTGCCATAAAACCTAATATATCTCCCTGGACAAGACGTCACCAAAGCTTCCAGGGTTAGAGGACCTCTTACCTGTGTACAAGGAGATGTAGGCGGAGTCTATCACTTCATACTTCAGACCAGGCAGGAACGGACGCCACTGTGTGTGTGAAGGCAGAACGAGAGAGAGAGAGAGAGAGAGAGAGAGAGAGAGAGAGAGAGAGAGAAGTGATTGGGTGAGACAAGAAAACTCAATGCCAACACGTGGAAAGTGTAAGGTGAGCAGAAATCGTCCATCTCACTGTTTGTAGGCTAAAGTGTGACACTGTCTGTGCTATTGATTCGAGCAATATCACAAGAATCGATCTGACACCAGGTTTTTATATAAACACACTTGAGAATGGAGAGACAGAAGAAGGAAAGAGGTACATTGACAAAAAAACAAGAAATGTGACGCCTTGAGGGATAAAGAAGGGAGGAGGAAATGAGAAAAACAAGAGCAGACATAAAAAAAAGAAAAGAAACTGTGAGCCGAGGAAGAACAGAGGCGTAGGAATAAGATGGTGAAGAGTAGGTGTGGAAAGGAAGATCTAGTAATGACCTGAAAATAGATAGAAGTACACAGAGAGAAATACACGAGATGGAGAGAGAGGCTACAATTCTTTTTAAATAGATTTCACAATTACCACGTCACTTCTGGTTACCCGGGATATAACCACAGGAGACAGGTCATTTTGCAGCCCTCGGGATGAGAATACAAATATAAACACCCTCCTCAGGCGCATGCAAATGCCTCCGCATATGTATGCAAATCAAAAACACACACATTAACAGTTTCAGATTGTGTCGCGGTGCCCGTTTTATCATTCATGAAGCACTGGTTGTAGCTCCAACTGCTGATATGTAAAAGCCAAATCCAGCATTTGTTGTGTTCTTTCCTCATGTTGTATCGTACTCCTTCAGTAACACGCTGACACTTCAACACAAGAGAAAACAATCGAGCAAGTGCACATATAAAGGAACAACTAACAAGGACACAGAGCGGCGTCATGCTGGGCAGCAGCAGGTAGCAGCCCAGCAGGTCGCCAGACGCTTCAGCCCTGTGTCATTATTTTAGGGTGCTTGTCCTCAAGGTCAAGTCTGGAGACTGCCACAGCGGGACTCCTTCAAGGACAAAAAAGTTGAGACTGCACTTGAGTTGTTGTTGTTCTTGGGAAGTGGTAGTTTGGAGTTCAAGCAACTGAAAAATAAATCATCGTTTGGCTTCTTTGGTACTGAAACTTAATTCATGCTAACCAAGGAAACTCATTGTATATCAGAAATGAAAGTGAGTCTAAAATCCCTGCCGACTGAGAATAGTTGTATATTATCACTGGCGCAGGCTTGAGATTTGTCATAGTGGGAAAGCAGGTGTTTCAAACAACACAATTGATGGCTCTGTTCTATTCCAGTGTCTCAGGAAGGCATTAAAGTCTGACACTGAGACCGGACTAACAAAACAACCTGCCTGATGAACCTTGAATCTAACCTGCAGAAATGAAATGCACCTCAAAAAGGCTCAGCACTAAGGCCGATTCTTTTGGTACCGCAAAGTTCAAAGAGAGTCAGCGATAGCTATAAAGGCTGGACTCCAGTGCTGCACACATGAAGCTGCCTCCACAGTAGAATCAATCAATATCAACAATAGAAACAAACAACATTTGACATGTAATCAGAGCAGAAAGCAGCACATAAGTCTAGGTCATAAGCAGGACCGCCTCTACCAACTGAGCCACAGCCGCCCCCAAATGGCCATGATAAGAATCAAAACTGCTAAAGGATATACTTGGCCTTTATGGTATCACTGAACTAGGTGAGAAACAGATGCACCCTTCCACACTTTTCAAGGCTCAACAGAGTTCAACACTCAGCTGTTGTCATTTCAACTTTAAAAGTAAAAGCTTAAAAAACGGCATGTCAACCCTCTGTGGGATATTTTGCAAAAATGGTTCCTCCTCAAAGTCTGGCTTAGTGCTTCTTTATTTAATTTGTCAAAAATGTGAAGTTAACTGGTACCCATAAATGTGTGTGTTAACATTTTCAACTTTAAGTAATAGTTTCATAAACAATATCCCTGTAGTTTACTCTGTGCGTATGGTATCATCCTCTGGGAAACAATGTGGACAGGGACAAGTTCAACAGAGAGCTAGGAAAATCTATATCCAAGGAGAAATAATTAAAAAAAGAACCATACAATTCCACTGCAAGATGGGCAGCCAGTAGTTTTTGTTCCATCATGCCTGGACAACCCAATGACATATGAGGGTTTGGTATTGTTTTCATTCAGCTGGTCAAAACGATGATGCTCCAAATCACAGTGTGGTTTGATGCCCACTGGAGTGACACACAAACAGTGATTTCATTCAGGTTCACACATACATACACACACACACACACACACACACACACACACACACACACACACACACACACACACACACACACACACACACACACACACACACACACACACACACACACAGGTAGCTTGCCTCTGGTTCCATCAGGCACAGGTTATTTTTGCTCTGCAATGATTAGGAGTTTATTGGTTCACAGAGAGCTGGCCGCTGTTGTGTTTGTTTCCTTTAATTCAATCTGCTGCTCCAAAGCCTCAGGCACTATGGGTATGAAGTTATTTTGTTCGTGCAACACGTAAGAGGCAGCGACATAATGAAACTATTTGACCTTTCCTTCTTCATGTTAAATTCAATTCAGATTTAAGGTCAGATGAGATCAACAGAGTGTAAACAATACTATTAAGTTTTTACAGAGTCCTACAATTTCCAGGGAATATGTTTTTTTTGCATGTATCTTCTTAACCTACTCACTTTAATTGTGGCTTGCTTCATTACTGAACCTTCCAAATAAACCAAATAAACCATAGACTTTTAAACAAGGTGATAACAATCTTTCTATATGTTGCGGTTTTATTGTTTTGCATAAGTATATTGTTCTGCGTAGTGTATGTTATCATGTATATTGTATACTGTCAGATGTTTCTTTTAAGCACAATTGAGTGCTATATGTTACAATGTTACAATTCACTTAGCAGACGCTTTTATCCAAAGCAACGTACATCAGAGAGTAAGTACAACACCAATCCATTTATACACCGCCACTGAAGCAGCGGGAGCACTGCGGGGTTAAGTGTCTTGCCCAAGGACACATCGGACATGTTGCTCAGCTGGGGATCGACCTTCCGGTTGAGAGGTGACGACTCTACCAACGGAGCCACAGCCGCAGCTTTATTAAACTTGACTTGACTTGAGGAAAGATGATTACACAGCTACAAATGGATAAGGGCTGTCGAGCTGTTAGTCTATCTCTGTAGAGACAGAGAGGCTCACTGCGTACCCTGCTTTCTGTTTTCCCATGTTGGCACTGTGTCTTTAAAGTCACTGGCAAAGGGTAAAGATGAACAAGACAGAAGAACACAAGCCCAAGTCAATGGTAAATAGACTTGGGTTTATACAGTGCTTTTCTAACTCAAAGAGCTTTCACATCACAGGTCACATCAACCCATTCACACATTCACACTGATGCCAGAGTATGCTATGTAAAGTGGCAATCAGAAGTATAACTAATCCCATTCACCCACATACATACATCGCAGACAAAGCAGTGGGAGCAACTTGGGGTTAAGTGTCTTGTGTCCAAAGGACACATCGGACATGTGGCTGCAGGAGCTGGGGATCGAACCCCTCAACCTTCCGGTTGACCAACTCAACCAGCTGAGCCACAGCCACCCTAAAGACACCTGCCTGAGGGAAAAAGACAAAAAAAAAGAGACTGGGACCACTATATTGCTGTTTGCTAAGGGGTTTCCTTTGTTTATAAGGGGTAGGTTGAATGAGCTGCATGGTCATAAACTAACACATTTGTGACAACATTTCTGTAATAGACCATCGTTGTTGCACCAAAACTATAAAAAACACATACATGCAAGGCAATTCATCGTTTAGAAACTCAATATCTTCAGATAAGAAAACCTTTATAGTTGCTTTTGATTGCACTATCTTGCACCTGTTAAAACCCATAAAGTGCAAATTGTGTTGCAATCCACAGCTGAAAAGAGTCCTCACTGAATGATGTTTTTACTTACTTTTGGAGTAATGCTTGCTAAATTTCAGTCCAGGTGTTTAAAGATTGAAATATGTTTATGTGACCAAACTTTTAAAATCTTGAGTAGGACTTGAGGGGGGTTGAGCTAAGAGACATAAAAAGAATAGTAGTTTTTAGAGAAAGACTCATTTGGGGTCTTTTCATGAATTTATTGAAAGATGAATAACAATACACCTTCGCCTTATAATGATGTTTGATCTACAATGCTAGGTGGGAACAGCAATTATTGTCCATTTTGAGGTGTGAGACAAGTCATGTTGAGAAAAGGGTTTTATCAAGGACAAAAATGTGGTAGATTTTACTGTAAGGCTAGTTGTTGCTGTTGTTGTTGACCACTTAGAGTTATTAATATGATGTAAAGAGTGGATGGAGGAAGAGAGGAGAAAGGAGTCAAAACAAGAGTCACCAATTTCCTCAATTCCAAAAAGCCTAATTTTAATCCGCCTCAAACATACATTGTGTTTGATATCTGTCAATGTAACAGTAGAAAAGTTTACATGTAATGCAATGAAGTCTACTTCCAAACAAGTGACCAACTAACAAAGAGATGGAGGTTGTCACTTAGGTTAGAGACATGGACACAGAGACCTCATTATTTCTAGGACAATAAATTGGCATTATAAACGTCCCTTCACCCATGACTCTGTCTGCCACTTATTTGGAGTCTGATTGGAAGGTCAAAGACAGCTCAAGTGCTTCCATTGACCTGTGTATATATTGCCAGAAGACCTTTTAACCACAGAAACAGTGACTTCATTAAGAAGGACAGGTTGCTAACACTCCAAAAATGGTGTCCTGTTGTTGTGGTGCACAAAAGGCAAAGTGAGAATGTGAGAGTCACTGCAAGTGCTAATGAGAGTGTGTATTAAAATCCTTTGAGTGTTGGTGTCTTTGTCTCTTTGTTGAGTGAAGTTGAATTGAAAGAAGCTCTTGTTGTTCTATTGTCATTTACACAGTACAGTAAACAACGCTGACAACCTTCATTATGGAGAAATCCAG